ATGCATATAACCACCCATATCACCGCCACAATTACAGGTGTTTATGGTTCCTTTTATGAAGCTTCTCAAGAATCCGACAAGTTTTTTTTCCTTTTTGGTGTTTTCTACACCATTTCTACTTGAATTTTCTCAGGTATTTCCTTGATCAATTTTTTTGCCTGAAAGAAAATCAAAATTCATGAGTTTTTTTTCAAATTCTGTGAATTTTCGTATTCACATATTCTCTCCATCCTATAATATAAGATGTTATTACAACCTACATATGAGTACATTGGTTTAATAATTATTGTGGAATGGATCGAGTAATTGGTTTTTTCAAATTTGATGTTATTTTTTCAAGTTCATGAACTTTTAAATTGTATGATTTTTATAAATTATGCAACAACTTTTCAACCTTTTCCCAAGTTCATAATTTTTTTCAAATTTCGAGAAGCATTTTCACATTTTAGAATTATGTGAACTTTTTCAAAATTTTCAAATTCACGAGTATTTCTTTCAATTTTCACAAACTTTTCTAAAAAAATCCGTGAGCTTTTCTCAAATTTGATAAATTTTTGTCAAATTCATGAACCTTTTTAATTAGTGATTTTGCTTAGATTTGTGAACATTTTCTCAAACTTACAATTTCTTTTAAATACAGAAACTTTTTACAGTGATAAGAAAACTGTACCTCAGCAAAATCAGCGTAGTGTGCCTCGGCAAAAAGAAGGCCTAGGGTTCCTCTGCCTGCTGTCGGCGTCGCTGTCGGTCCGTCTCGTGTCCGGTGGCCATAGAGTTATGGGGCACAATGGATCCCGGTCCTTGTCGGCAGGAGGGCTCTGTTTTTTCATGTTTCTTCGAGTTTTGTAGTGTTTGTGTCCTGCTCAGAAAGACGAGATGACGGGGTGTGACGCCTTCGACTTAATTGTGTGCTAATCATACACGCAAATGCGCATGATCAAGATCTGAGATTCACCGGAAAATATCACAATACAATTCTGGACAAAAAATAGTAATACAATACTTATATTACAAGTTAGGGGCCTCGAGGGCTCGAATACATAATCTCGAATGCACAAGAGTCAGCGGAAGCAACAATATCTGAGTACAGACATAAATAAATAAGTATGCCTTAAGAAGGCTACCACAGACAACGATAATTGGATCAAAAAGGCGCAACCCCCCTGCCTGGGAGCCTCCTAACTGCTCCTGGTCATCGGCGGTCTGCACGTAGTAGGCTTGATCGTGGTAGTAGTATTAGTCGGCGATGGGATCAGCTGGCTCCTGGACTCCGTCATCTGATCGCAACAATCGAATAGAGGGGAAAAGAGGTAGCAAAGCAACCGTGAGTACTCATCCAACGCTCGCAAGACTTACATCAGATCTATACTAAGTATACATCGGTATCAAAGAAATGGGGCTATATCTTTAAACTAGACTGCAGAAATACCAGAATAGTGGGAAGACCTGGCCTATCAAAGACTAGCATCTTGCAGCAACAGAATAGAGTAGGGTAACATAACATAAGTAATAAGTATGTTGTAGTATCAACGCCCAGAGATCCTTCCTCGAGTCCATGTGAGAAAGTGATCCCGGAGCCATCATATCTATTTAGTGTCTCCAGTATCCAGTCCTAATTGTAATAGACCGGGATACAACTCCGAGCATCCATTACCGTGGACACGACTATTCAAATAGATATACTTCCCTGCAATGGTGCACCAACTTACCCAACACGCCCGATTAACTCTGGCCGGACACACTTTTCATGCCCGGACTTGGCTGATCGACACACCATAGTCCTACCTAGGCTCAAGAGAGAGGCCAGCACGCCGGTCTACATCCTAAGTGCCAGGGGGCCTGGAGCAGACCCACCCCCTAATACTAGCGCACGTGGTTCCCGTCCAATCGGACGCGCGCCGCTCAATTGCTGACGCCGAAGAGCTTTCGAAGAATCGTACAACGCCAAGTGCCCATTCTTATTCCCGTGTGGTGGTTAGTGCAAAAAGGCCAGAGGCCTACTCAGATCACATATCCAATCCCGTTAGTGTCTTGGGAGCACGGAGACGATCAATGATCCCGTCGCCCTGTCTCGAGGAGTTACGGCAACGGTCAGGCCAATCCCTCTCAAGGGCGGTCTGCCTGACTGGCTGTGCCTCGTAATTATCTCGCAGGTACCCTCCTGGTCAGCCCGACTTCGGTTACTCTCGCGGGTACCTCATGTCTACTACACAACCTTCTTCTTGTAGATGCTGTTGGGCCTCCAAGTGCAGAGGTTTGTAGGATAGTAGCAAATTTCCCTCAAGTGGATGACGTAAGGTTTATCAATCCATGGGAGGCGTAGGATGAAGATGGTCTCTCTCAAGCAAACCTGCAACCAAATAACAAAGAGTCTCTTTTGTCCCCAACACACCCAATACAATGGTAAATTGTATAGGTGCACTAGTTCAGCGAAGAGATGGTGATACAAGTGCAATATGGATGGTAGATATGAGTATTTGTAATCTAAAAATATAAAAACAGCAAGGTAACAAGTGGTAAAAGTGAGCACAAACGGTATTGCAATGCTAGGAAACAAGGCCTAAGGTTCATACTTTCACTAGTGCAAGTTCTCTCAACAATAATAACATAACTGGATCATATAACTATCCCTCAACATGCAACAAAGAGTCACTCCAAAGTCACTAATAGTGGAGAACAAACAAAGAGATTATTGTAGGGTACGAAACCACCTCAAAGTTATCCTTTCTGATCGATCTATCATAGAGTTTGTACTAGAATAACACCTTAAGACACAAATCAACCAAAACCCTAACGTCACCTAGATACTCCAATGTCACCTCAAGTATCCGTGGGTATGGTTATACGATATGCATCACACAATCTCAGATTCATCTATTCAAACCAACACAAAGTATTTCAAAGAGTGCCCCAAAGTTTCTACCGGAGAGTCAAGACGAAAACGTGTGCCAACCCTTATGCATAAGTTCACAAGGTGAACCCGCAAGTTGATCACCAAAACATACATTAAGTAGATCACGTGAATATCCCTTTTTCACCATAGATAAGAACATGCAAGATATACATCAAGTGTTCTCAAATCCTTAAAGACTCAATCCAATAAGATAACTTCAAAGGGAAAACTCAATCCATTACAAGAGAGTAGAGGGGGAGAAACATCATAAGATCCAACTATAATAGCAAAGCTCGCGATGCATCAAGATCGTACCACCTCAAGAACACGAGAGAGAGATCAAACACATAGCTACTGGTACATACCCTTAGCCCCGAGGGTGAACTACTCCCTCCTCGTCATGAAGAGCGCCGAGATGATGAAGATGGCCACCGGTGAGGGATCCCCTTTTCGATAGGGTGTCGGAACAGGGTCCCGATTGGTTTTTGGTGGCTACAGAGGCTTGCGGCGACGGAACTCCCAATCTATTGTGCTCCTGGATGTATTCGGGGTATACAGACGGTCTATTCTGCTAATATTAGCAGAATAACTATTCTACACACCAATTCCGCACTGCATGCTGAACGCAAGTGCGCATCATTCTTTGAACCAAGTGTGCTGCAGTACTCACACGAGTTAACTTCTCGTCGGAAAAAACTGCATGCGTTATTTTTTCGGTACTGTTTTCTCTCTTATTTTTTAACCGTTTATCGGAATGAGGCGTGTAATATACCGTTGAAAAGCTATGGATTAGGCGCAACTTCGACATGTTGAACACTTTTCGAGATTCCACACGGTTTAAGAGCAGTTTTGAAAATGGTGCGGCCCATGACGAGTGGCAGCGAGCGTTTTTTCGTGATTTCTTCTAAACCGCTCATCGGAATGAAGTAAATGATACGCCATTGGATAGATATCATCGAGACGCATCTTTTTCATATATATATATATATATATATATTTTCTCTCATTCCTTACGGTTTAAGAGCAGTTTCAAATTTACTAAATCGCGGAATTCTGTTTTTTAAATTTTTTCAAATTTTCGGTACTGTTTTCGCTCCAGTTTTTGAACCGTTTGTCGAAACGAGGCGTGTGATACGCCGTTGGAAAGCTACGAACAAGGCGCAACTTTCATACATTGAAATATTTTTGAAATTCATTACGGTTTTAAGTTAATTTTTAAAATCGTGCGGCGGATGACGAGTGGCAGCGGCCGTTTTTGGCGAAATTTTTGCAAATCGCTAGTCGGAATGATTCAAACGATACGCCGTTGGAAAGATATCGACGATATGCAACTCTTTCATGTATAACACTCTCTCTAATTCTTTACGGTTTAAGATGAATTTCGAATTTGCCGGAATGTGGACACTCTGTTTTTCGCGACACCCAAATCGACGTGCGTACTTCATCCGACAGAAAACCGCACTGCTTCGGACTGAAAACCGCACTGCATTAGACGAGCAGGTGAACTTCATGATTTCTTTATGTGAGACATAAATTTTCTCAGATGAGTTTTTGTGAGTTTTAATTATATATTTTTTAACTTTTTTTATGAACGAGAGTGTACCCCAAAGATGAGGGCAAGTGAACCGTGACATATATCAAAGTGAACCACATTACAATCTTGTTGTTTCGCTAATTTTTTTGCATTTTTCATATTGGGCACAAGTGAACAGCATCACTCGCAAAAGTGAACGACATCCAAGGACCAAACGCACTGCATTCGACTGAATTTTGAAACACACAAAACAAATTGCACCTCATATAAAGGGGTAATGAGCTAATTTTTTCAATCATCACATAAACAAAACAAATTTCTTTAGTAAAATGAGTGAACCTCCCATGGGGATTTCTTTCTCTTTTTTTACAAAGTGAACACTAAGGGGTTGCACTTTTTTTCACAAAGTGAACCCCCATTGTTTTAACATGAGAACAACAAAGAGTTTTGATGAACTACATGATGTTTGAGTAAATACAAAGAAGTGAACTGAAGCAAATTTCATCAGCGTGCAGCAGATCGTACGTCTGTGGGTACGTGGAGAAGGCCTCGCACCTAACAAGAATCAGCAGATTAATTCAATTCTAGTAACGGGAATGCTAAACATCTGACGGCGAGCAGGATGCAGTTGGGAGAAGAGGTAATGTGTGGGTTGGTGCCGATGAGTCCTCTGTCGTAGACGATGCCGAGGGAGTAGGGCCCGTAGGAGGAGACCACGTTCATGACGCACACGGGGTCCTTGACGAGGCTGGCCGTGAACCCTCCGTAGATGGTGCTCATGTCCATGACGTTTCGCACCTTGTCGCTCCACAACGCGGGCAACAGGGCCTTGTAGTGCTTCGTGGCCGCCTTCCACTTGTCGTCGTCGTGCTTCATGGCGCTGCCGCTGCCGCCGGGGACAACGGAGACGCGCTCCGGTGCGACGCTGGCAGGCAGCACCTGAATCGCATCCAGCGAACTGCGTGAAATAGCTAGCCGAGCCGCATGGCCACACTAACTACACGAGCCGAGATGTACTCCTGTCGAACTGCATCGACGGCCAAATCTGAAGAAAAAAACTTTTTACGAACTGCACGGAGTGGTTGCCATCATAGGAACAAGGAGAGGAGGGAAGTGAGATGACTGGAGAGGTGGAGACCCAGGCGTTGTTGCCGACATTGTGGTGTTCCCACAAACTGCACCTACACAAGCACTGAACCATATATCACGCCACCACCCAGCTAGGATATTCTAAAGGGTAGAGTGGTCGGCCAGGGAACTGCACGCACAAGCTGGCCGAGCCGCACGGGCCGCCCAACTGAGCTGCACTCCAGTCTCCGGCGAACTGCAACACAAATGCACCGCTTTCCCCATCCTTCTGGCGCTGTGCCGATGCTGCCTTGTTGATGGAGAAGAGGACGACGCGTGCTAGACATGACGGGAGGCCACCAAACTCCACGGCAACCCCAAGCACACGATCGTAGTGGCCGTAGGGGAGCTGCTGGAAATGAGGAGGCCATGGGCTAAGCGCCCTCGACCTGGATGCGCTCGACACCCGGCGTCCAACTCGACAGTCAACAAAAAGACCCATGATTGCGGCACCGGCGTGAAGCTCGTGGTGCTCCCATGTGGTTCTCCAGTCGATGGCGACAAACGTGTGGGGAGCGGCCGCCCAGTTCGAAGGATCCTTCTGCACTGCACGCTTACAGAACCACAAATTGCAGCGGCGCGAGAAGTGAGCTGCAATCCGCAAACGGGGTATGCCGAAGAATACGAAGGTGCGGTGCTCCTGTCCCAGGTGGAGGAAGGGGATCCTCGATCCTGCTATGCGCTATAGCCAGCATGCACAACCAGATCCAGGGGATGGGAATGGCCAGAGGAGGCGAGGCTGGGAGCTTCTCATCCGCGCAGGCCTCACTAGACACCTTCTCCGTTTTCAAAGCGAACTGCACATGAAAAGAAATTGAGGGAAGCCTAGGTGCTACGCTCGACAACACATGAACCAAAAATCAATTTCAAACACAAAGAACAAACCAAAAAAACTTACAGCTGCCGAACCGCACCGAGCACTACCATCGAGCCGCATCACCACAACGATGCATACTGCATCACGCGGCGCCTCAACGGAATGAACTGCACAGAATGCTGTAGGAGCAAGGCGTGGCGCATCCCGGCGCCGGCCATGCTCGAGGTGCTCACGCCCTGATGGCCGCCGCGGGGCGTGGACTCCACCAGGAAGGGAGGTCGACCAGGACGCAGAGATCCACTAGAAGAGACATCCAGCGGCGGCGCAGCTAGCCAGCGTGGTAGGGGTGCGTTGGGGGAGGCCTCCTCCGCCTGCATCGGGTGGAGCTGGTGCTCTTGGGACGAGCACCGGAGTTGAAGAGGGATGGGGGAGGGCATGGGGCTTGCGTTGGCTTTCCATCTCGCCGAATCAAGGGCGGCTGGTTATCCGCCCACCGGCGCGTGGTGATAGAGTTCGTCGGATCCGCCGCGGGGGAGATGAGGAGGTGGGTTGACTCGTCGGATCCACCGCGGGCAGCAGGGGTTGGGGCCGCTAGCGCATGCCTCCTGAACCGGCCTCCTCCCGGTGGCAAGCCAGGGAGTCGCTCAACGGGGTCTTCCTACCGGAGAGGCAGAGGACGACCCATGCCCTGGCGGTGCTGCCATGGCAGCGGGGCGGCGGCGGGGCAGGGCAGTGCGTCGTAGGTAGGTGGTGGGCAGGCTCTTGGTTCTGGTTGACGAGGCCGGCGGCGGTGGAGGGACGTGCTGGTGCAGCGGCACCGACGGTGGTAGGTGGTGGGGGATCAGGAAGTTGCTGCCGGCGAGGTGTGGGGATTCCTGTTGTGCGGGGTGTGGGGATTCCTGTCGTGCGGGAGGTTATGAGAGGTGGGGGTGGGGTGGGTGCTTTTGTTTAAAGGCTGTGACGCGGTTCGGTTTGGATGATGCAACAGTGTGTTTGTGTTAGCAGAATAAGAAAATAGTTAGCAGAATAAGAGTCTTAGAGGGTGTTATCATAATAGACCCACCCTATATATATGCATCCAACTTGCTTGCTCACGAAGACCTAAGGAATTTTGAGGAAGCCCATCATTGGAATATACAAGCCAAGTTCTTATAATGAAAAATTCCCACTAGTAAATGAAAGTGACAATATAAGAGACTCTCTACCATGAAGATCATGGTGCTACTTTGAAGCACAAGTGTGGAAAAAGGATAATAACATTGTCCCTTCTCTCTTTTTCTCTTATTTTTTTGGTGGGCTTCTTTGGCCTCTTTTTTTTATTATTTGGGCTTCTTTGGCCTCTTTTTTTGTTTGGGCTTCTTTGGCCTCTTTTATTTTCCATAAAGTCTGGAGTCTCATCCCGACTTGTGGGGGAATCATAGTCTCCATAATCCTTTCCTCACATGGGACAATGCTCTAATAATGAAGATCATCGCACTTTTATTTACTTACAACTCAAGAATTACAACTCAATACTTAGAACAAAATATGACTATGTGAATGCCTCCGGCGGTGTACTGGGATAATGAATCAAGAGTGACATGTATGAAAGAATTATAAAGGTGGCCTTGCCACAAATACGATGTCAACTACATGATCATGAAAAAGCAATATGATAATAATGGGGCGTGTCATAATAAATGAAACGGTGGAAAGTTGCATGGCAATATATCTCAGAATGGCTATGGAAATGCCATAATAGGTAGGTATGGTGGCTGTTTTGAGGAAGGTATATGGTGGGTGTATGGTACCGACAAAAGTTGCATGGCACAAGAGAGGCTAGCAATGGTGGAAGGGTGAGAGTGCGTATAATTCATGGACTCAACATTAGTCATGAAGAACTCATATACTTATTACAAAAATCTATTAGTTATCAAAACAAAGTATTACGCGCATGCTCCTAGGGGGATAGATTGGTAGGAAAATACCATCGCTCGTCCCCGACCGCCACTCATAAGGAAGACAATCAATAAATAAATCATGCTCCAACTTCATCACATAACAGTTAACCATACGTGCATGCTACGGGAATCACAAACTTTTAACACAAGTATTCCTCAAATTCACAACTACCCAACTAGCATGACTCTAATATTACCATCCTCATATCTCAAAACAATCATAGCATCAAACTTCTCATATTATTCAATGCACTTTATATGATAGTTTTTATTATACCCAACTTGGATGCCCATCATATTAGGACTAGATTCATAACCAAAGCAAAATACCATGCTGTTCTAAAAGACTCTCAAAATAATATAAGTGAAGCATGAGAGTTCATCAATTTCTTCAAAATAAAACCACCACCGTGCTCTAAAAAGATATAAGGGAAGCACTAGAGCAAATGACAAACTACTCTAAAAGATATAAGTGAAGGTCAATGAGTAGTCAAATAATTATGCAACTATGTGAAGACTCTCTAACATTTAAGAATTTCAGATCTTGGGATATTATTCAAACAGCAACCAAAACAAAATAAAACAAAATGACGCTCCAAGCAAAACACATATCATGTAGTGAATAAAAATATAGCTCCAAGTAAAGTTACCGATGAACGAAGACGAAAGAGGGGATGCCTTCCGGGGCATCCCCAAGCTTAGGCTTTTGGTTGTCCTTGAATATTACCTTGGGGCACCTTGGGAATCCCCAATCTTAGGGTCTTGCCACTCCTTATTCCATAGTCCATTGAATCATTACCCAAAACTTGAAAACTTCACAACACAAAACTTAACAGAAAACTCGTAAGCTCCGTTAGTATAAGAAAATAAAACCACCACTTAGGTACTGTTGTGAACTCATTATAAATTCATATTGGTGTAATATCTACTGTATTCAAACTTCTCTACGGTTCATACCCTCCGATACTACTCATAGATTCATCAAAATAAGCAAACAACACATAGAAAACAGAATCTGTCAAAAACAGAACAGTCCATAGTAATCTATATCATTCGAATACTTATAGAACTACAAAACTCATGAAATAAATTGGTGGACCTGAGGAATTTGTCTATTAATCATCTTCAAAATGAATCAACCTAAAAGCACTCTCCAGTAAAAAATGTCAGCTAATCTCGTGAGCGCTAAAGTTTCTATTTTTTACAGCAAGATCGCATAGACTTCACCCAAGTCTTCCCAAAGGTCCTACTTGGCACTAACACTAATTAAAACATAAAACCACATATAAACAGAGTCTAGATGAATTATTTGTTACTAAATAGGAGCAAAAGCAAATGACAAAAGTAAAATTGGGTTGCCTCCCAACAAGCGCTATCGTTTAGCGCCCCTAGCTAGGCATGATAATTTCAATAATGCTCACATAAAAGATAAGAATTGAAACATAAATAGAGCATCATGAAGAATATGACTAGCATATTTAAGTCTACCCCACTTCCTATGCATAGGGATTTTGTGAGCAAACAACTTATGGGAACAATAATCAACTAGCATAGGAAGGCAAAACAAGCATAACTTCAAAACTTTAAGCACATAGAGAGGAAACTTGATATTATTGCAATTACTACAAAGCATATATTACTCCCTCATAATAATTTTCAGTAGCATCATGAATGAATTCAACAATATAACCATCACCTAAAGCATTCTTTTTATGATCTACAAGCATAGAAATTTTATTACTCTCCACATAAGCAAAATTCTTCTCATTTGGAATAGTGGGAGTATCATAAGAGACTCACTATAAATTGTTTCCACTGTTCAGAAAATGGGTAATCATAATCATGACAAGTTTTATAAATATAATCATTACTACTTTTTATAGCATAAGTGTCATCACAATAATCATCATAAAAAGGAGGCATGCTATCATCATAATAAATTTGCTCATCAAAACTTGGGAGGCTAAAAATATCATCTTCATTAAACATAGCATCCCCAAGCTTGGGACAAACATTAATTGCAGCAAATATATTCTCAAACATGTCATTCTCATCAAACTTAGCATCCTCAAGCTTGGGCATTTTCATATCATAAGCATAATCAATCTCATAATTAATAGTATGGATAGCGCCAATAGTATAGCAATTATCATAATCACAATGAGTAATAGGAGCAACATCATTTGGGAGGGATACCTTTCTACCCTTGATTCTCCGTCTTTTGTTATTCTTCCTCACATCATGTGTGGGTTTAACCCTCTTTTTTGAGCTCCTTATTAATGAGATTGGTTGAATAGAAAGCTCCTCCTCATTACCTGATTCATCATAAGAAATAATAGGAGGATATTGGGAAGTCTCTTCCCTTTTCATTAGTATTATCTTCATCTTCTATTTGCTTTCTTTTCTTTATGTAATTGGCAATATAAGGATTTTCAATGCAATTCACCGCACAATACATAAACATTTCTTCTAGATCAAAATCAAGAACTTTATCAAGCACAAATTCTGGAAGATTCTTAGTTAAACATTTCATTTCGTCATAACCCATAAGCAAACTAAGTTCATTATGATGTGCAAGGGAAATCAAGTCATCACAATTTTTAGACACGATTCGATCATGAAACAATTTGCATTGGGTATTTTAAATGATCATGTTCATTGCAAAGTTAACAAGGATGGCAAAGA